TTGTGGTTTTATACTTTTGTGGGGGTTCTGTTTCCCTAACCCGAGTGAATGCAGAGGGCCGACTGTAATAAGAAAAACATAATATGTTAAAAACAATAGTAAGGAAACTAGCCAGCTGCTTATCACACTGAGTTGCAAATGATATAATTTCTAAATGCAATAATAAAAAAAATGAAAACTTTATTTATATTCCACTCTGTCTCCCTGAAGGGACTCAGGGTGGATTCCGAACATAAAAGGCAAACATTCAATGCCTGAACATAACAACAACGCACCCATAATAACGAAAATTGACAACCCACTAATTTAAATGGACCACCTCTTCTCCAGTGTCTATATCTATCAGATGTATTGGACTGTAGATTCCATAATCCTTAGCCAACACTGCTGAGGCTGATGGAAATTGTAAGTAAATACATATTTAAGGCCCTTCTTAGGAGCACCTATAATGCAGAAGTGACCAGGTTAAAAGGGGGGGGGGAGCGGATACATGACACTAGTGGTAAATCCATGCCTATTCAGTGCCACAGACAAAGACATGTGTTAAAAAGGTCCACTTATATCCTGATTCTAGCAGAAAAATGTGCATATTCGTATCACTGTATACCCCTGCACTCACGAAAAACACGTGATTTTTGCTTTTAAAAAGCCTGAAACAGCTGATCAGCTGATTGGGCTGTGAAACGGACATGCAGCTGGTTTAAAGGAAGCATAAATGGAGACCAATTAGAACTCTCTGAAACTCTTTATTTTAAACTTTAGAATATTAAACAGAGCTTGAATAAACAATTGGGGAAGAGAGAAATCTAGTTGAAGTTTTTTCTAAAAAAAATTCTTTGTTATGTGCTGAACCACATATGAGCACATGCAAATCTGCTTACATTTATATTAAGATATTTGCATGTGCATAATGGGGTGATTTCTTAAAAAAACAAAAACCTTCCTCAGGATGTCCCCCATTCACCCTCCATCTTGTTCCGATACAGAGGAAGCCGTGAGTACGGCGGGGGACCCAACCCGGGACTGACAGGTCTGTGTGGGGACCTGAAGTCAAACCCCAGGATATATTAACGGCTATTTAAAACCTGGATTTTGGCACTATCTAGAAGCGCCCTTAGAGGTTGCTAGTTTGGAAAAGGTCTATAGCAGGAGTGACTTTTCTGAATCTCTAGATCAGTATTATTATTATTATTATTATTATTAATCTATTGTATTATATATTATCTGAACATTGCCTATTACTTCATCACACTAGAGAATGAATCTACTTTAAATCTGGTTTCTACCTCCTGCAGAATTCTGGGGTTTGTAGTAGTTTAGTGAGGCTGTTAAAGGCTCCTTCCTAAACAAAAAAACCACAGAATTCTGCAGGAGGCAGCAACCGGATTTAAAGGAGATTCATTCTCTAGTGTGATGAGATCACTAGTGGCTGTTTTAGAAGTTTACAAAAATCTGTTATGCAGTGTTTACAATGGATTCTGCAGAAGATGCTTCAGCTAAACTTCATAAAGAGAAAAATCAGTCTGTTTAGCAAACCTTGCAAATGCTGATTTGTTATCAGTAAATGTTTGATTTGTATACCTATTTTGTATGTTGTTGTTGTTCATTCGTTCAGTCGTCTCCGACTCTTCGTGACCTCATGGACCAGCCCACGCCAGAGCTCCCTGTCGGCCGTTACCACCCCCAGCTCCCTCAAGGTCAGTCCAGTCACTTCAAGGATGCCATCCATCCATCTTGCCCTTGGTCGGCCCCTCTTCCTTTTGCCTTCCACTTTCCCCAGCATAATTGTCTTCTCTAGGCTTTCCTGTCTCCTCATGATGTGGCCAAAGTACTTCAACTTTGTCTCTAGTATCTTTCCCTCCTATTTTGTATACCTACTGCATATACCCGGGTCATGTAAAAAATTATCGGTCCGAAAGGGGTTGCGAATGGAAAAGTTTAAGAAGGCCTAATCTAGATCTTGTTAGATTTTAATTACCATGAGCCGTAGCCAACCTGGCCAGTAAGTCATAAAGCTCCATGAAACATACAGCCTAAAATGCCTGATACATTCCCCATTCTGGTCTACAATAAAGCTGGGCTAGTGATCTACTTCCAATACTTATTGCAACTTCTTGCTAATCCCCTGAACCGTACAACCTTTAAAAATTGGAATATTGGTGGAATCAAGCTTTTCTCTCAATTAACTTAAAATGTATTTGAAGGCTTATAATGGCAAAACAAACAAAACAAGCTTCTGTTAAAAATGAAAAGAAAAAAATGAGAATACAGTGGAACAAAGCAATGCAAAAAAGTCTTTTTAGAAGTGATCTTTAAAAAAATTAGTGCAGTATTTGTTTCTTTTACAAGTTTTGGTGAGAAACCACCACCTCTCTGCCCCATCAATTGCTGCTTTCAACAGGTCTTCACGGGTGGTTGCGTCTCTTTTAAATTTCATTTCCTGTTAGAAAGGATAAACAGGCACTGTTTAATGCTGCCAATTTAGTTTATTTAATAAAAAACTGAAAGTTAAATATGTCTCTGTTGGTAGACAGTCACTGGAGGAGTACTTGCGGGAGAGCGGGTAGATAAATAGTAAAAAACAAATCCATTCAGGTTTATGATATTTTAACAAGAACATGGAAAATAAATTTAATGCAAGACTGAAAAATGTGCATGCGAGGGGGAGGGGGGTAATTTCTGAAAAGTGGCAGGAACTGTGAAGGCCACTGAATAGGGACATCTGCTTAATTGGGAGAGCTGGCTGGGAAACAACTTCACATGAGGCATTTAACAAGCTTAAAATACCGTTTATATGGATGGTTTTGAGACCACATGCCAGCTCTTGGGGAAAACAGGTGGAAGTTGATTTCTTTGAGCTGTATGTTTCTACGACCTACATATTTCTCAAAGCGAAGATATGTGGCTATGCCTTATTACCTTGGCATTGCACACTAAATTCAAGATTCATGTCTTCTAGTGCTTAGAAGGTCAACAAGGTACTGAAAGCTCCATCTTGTTTTTGCGCACCCTTAAATTGTTTCAGACTTACAGCAACCCTGAACCTACCCTACAATTTTCTTGGCAACATTTATTGGGAAAATGTTGATGTGTGATGCTTGAATGTTGGACTAGATCTCCAGAAAATCAAGTTGCAAAACCCTACTTGGCCCTGTAAAGCACAGGGTGACTTTGAGCAAGTCACGCTTTCACAGCCCAAGATGGCAATGACAAAAGTCCTCTAAATAAATCCTGCCAGGAAAACTCCATGATAGGGTTGCTATAAGTCAGAATCAACTTGAAAGCATACAATGTTCCCACTGATCCGAAACAGAAACCATACTGGGTTTGACAGCCATGCCATCTTCCGAGAATTACATTTTCCAATCCCACTAGATAAATCATTACATTGACCATGAAGTCATACCTTCAAACAGCTCTGAACACAGAAATTCAATTAATTTGATTATGGAAAGTAAACAAGATTAGTCTTGCTTAATACTTGGGATAAAAGAACACAAGGTAAAATCCTGCTTGAAACTCTAGAGAGCCTCTGTTATGCTGACTTAGAAGGGAGCTTCCAGTATTTATTCCTATACTAAGTGGGGAAAGTGAGAAGGCCCACAGTTCAAACAATGTTTCTTGATCTGATTTACAAGTAGTAGAAGTAAAAAATCACTGGAGATGGAGGGATATTGGAATACTTAGTATAAACCATGCCAGATTACACACAGCTGAATTAGACTGGGTATATGTTTGGAGTGGAAAGGTGAGCAATTCAGATAAAACCAGTCCTCTATGCTAATCCTAACGTATCTTCCAACCAACTGTACTTTAGCACCTTAACACCAGCTGCATATCTTCCATATAAAGTTTATTATAATTCTTTCTAATGTTGCTCCCATGCTCCCCTCACTCCCAGAGCCAAGAAAACTGAACTTCAGCTAAAGCATTCCAGCATTGTAGGCACAAGAATAATTCTAGCAAAGTGCATATAATCCACCACAGATTTGCTGTTCTTTGATAGGTATCTCACAATTTCTCTTAACTTCTCTAAAAAAAGTCACAAAACCAAGAGGTGTGTTGGAGCATAATGTTGCCTCTTATTGAGAGAGGGAGGAAGGGAGGGAGAGAGGGAGGGAGGCATGGGAGCAGTGGGGGACGGGACAAGAGTGGCCAATGAAATTAATCTTTTAGCATATTCTGGTACTAGAAAATGCCTTGTTTTCAAACTATGTTCTCCCTACTTTCGCATACTGGTACCGATAGTTGGAAATTGTTAAATTTTACTATAAAAATGTGCTCATCAAAAATAAGATTTTGATGAGTAAACAATAAAGTAATGAGAAGGAAAACCTTGCTCCAGAGAACCTACATTTTTATGAAGTCATTCCAATAAATGATATACTATCAGTAAGACTGAGGAACATGAAAGATCAACCACCTGAAATTCCAGTCATTTCAAAGGGGAGATCTGATGTGGACAACTGTAACTGCAATGGCTAGAACTGCATGCACAAAAAATGCCTTCCATGATGCATGTAAGGTTTCAGAGCAACACAGTGACATTTTTGTGTCTATATGAGCATGAGAGAGTGAAAATATTCAGAGCCCTATATGACTGCTGTCACAGATGTTAAAACAGTTTTCATTCCTCTTCCTGACCAAAAATCATTGGCCTCCAAATTTCATAGCAAAATGTTCAGGCAAAGCAACGCAGGCTGAAGTGTGTGAATATTGAATCCAGATTCCAAGAGCCACAAGATGAAATGTCAAGTAGGTCATAAACTGCTATAATTCACATCTTGACATTAAAAAAAAAACACCATGTGGAACGTGTTACCTGAAGTAAAAAGGGGAGTCCCCACATTCTTCAGAAATTCACAGACTGAATATCAAATGGTTGCCTTTGGAAAGCTTAACTCCCCCTCCACAAACAGAGTTGAAGATGACCAATTACAAAAGAAAGAAGTCCCAATTTTGGCTTTTAAAAACCCAAAATGGTACATTTCTTCATTTACCTTTGTCCAGGTCACTTGACATGTTCCATGACGGTGTAGGTATTAAATTAGCAGCGGCAGCAACAGCAGATGTATTTGTTCCTAAATGGACAAGCGAAGGGATGGGGGAGAAATATAAAGAGTTAATACACAGGCATCTTATAGACTAGGTAATATGAGATTACAATGGTATTTCTAACTAGAGATGAGCGGTGATGTTTTAGAAAATGCTAGTTATTAAGATCTTCTGAGCACTCTGTATTATCAACACTTAAAAGCTGTGTCAGGAGAACGCCTTGGGGGGAGGGTGTCAGACTTGTCCATGGTTTGCAGAACACTGGGAGAAAGAGGAGAGACCAAGAAACAATGCCTTTTTGGGGGGTGGCGGGGGAGGTCTTTCCTTGTCCCCTTCTGACTCTGGCTTTTGCAACACCATGTCCAATGGGATCGTCAAAAGTTTGCTTACTGTTTGTTGTCTTTTGGGAATAGAATAACAAAACCATTACTCTTAAAATAGCATTTAGGTTTTGTGTTCTGTTTTTGTAGAATTGTCCCCCTCCGTATTCTATAACGTTTGCAAATACTAGGAATGTTCTTAACCATAAGACTGTCCTGTTAAAAAGGGGTGAGTCATGATGATTATGACATTCTATATCAGTGAAAGGTAAAAGAACACCTAGACTACAATATTTCAGGGTACTAACCAAATAATTCAACAATTTTTGAGGGGCAGGAAAAGATGTCACCATCTCACCCAACAGAGCATGCATTGCAGAATAAAATAGTACAATGCGATGACCCCACCCCCACCAATATCTGTAGGGAATATGCCCCTGATCCTAACTCTATCCCTAAGGATGTGAGCCCACAAAGCTCTCTCTTCCTTCATCTACTGCTATTGCCTGGGAGTTTTGTACGATGCAGGTTTGAGGGGGAAAAGATTAGAATTTTGTTTTTTTAAAGCTGAGATACATTGGATTTTATTAAGATCTTTATACTCTGAGACTGACTTTTTAAAAACACAGTCTGGGAACCGCTGTTCTATGGAATGTTTCCACTACAAGTTATCACATAGGTACCCTGGACAACCTAGAAACATGCCATAGCAACACTTGGGAGACCTAGTAAATTCTTAGGGATGACATATTATAGGCATTGCAAAAGACAGAGGCAGATGGGGACAAGGAACAACCACAGGTACCAGTCCTGCAGGTACTGGGGCGGTGTGTGTGTGTGTGTGTGTGTCATACTGTATTTAAAACAAATTGCTAATACAAAGTATAGCATAAAAGTTTAAAAAGCATTATTCATAATCAAGTAATGCATTAACATCATTACTTTGAAAACATTAAACAATTAAAATACATAGAACACATATTGCATTTAAAAAACCCCACATCCATTACACATTCTTCTGTCTCAACCAGTTAAAGACTTGATGACCCGTTTAAATAGGGCAATCAGTACCGGGTTGCTGTGAGTTTTCCGGGTTCCTTTGAGTTTTCTAGGAACTTAGCTATACAGACTGGAAAATTCACAGCAACCCAGTGATTCTGGCCATGAAAGCCTTCAACAATACATTGAACATGTCTACAAAGAAAAAGTGTTCCAAGACACACAAAGATTGGAAAAACTATGGACAATCGGTACTGTTGCATTATCTAGATGGAGGCCAAAACGTGGCGCTAGACAAAGAACAATCGTCCATTTTATGGAGGGAGCGGTGTTTGAAGGATTAAAACCATTTGCCCCTGAGCTCTTCTTATTCCCCCCCACCCACCCACCCATGTCGCCCTATGAAATGGGAAGTGGGGAGGGGAATAACCAACAAAAATGGGGAAAAATTGTTTTCCTCCTTCAGCTCCCTCCACCATAAAATGGACTATCCTCATTGCCTGCCTGTTGTGCTTTTACTGGAGGCATCCAAACGCTGTCGGAGCTAAAAGCAAATTAATTTGGAAAAAACTACCGTTATTCTGAATTAATTAAATATTCAATTAGATCAAGGCCTTCCTAAAAGACCTGGGTCTAATGGGGTATTGGGTGAGTCCCCACAGCCACCTCACATGTTTTGAGTTCTGGAACCCAAAAGTGCAAGAGTTTTTAAAAACTTACCAGGTCCCACCATTAAGCTGCTCTGCTCTGTGAGTCCTCCTGGTGACCAGGGGAAAAAAATCACTCCTCCCCCGCCCCCTGTCTCTTGGCACAACATTTCAACATGCCAGGAAGACTCATGGAGCAGCTTAATGGTGACCCAGTAGGTTTTTAAAATTGTAAGGTTTTTTTTTGGGGGGGGGGGGTTGCCTTCCTGGTAGTTACATGGGGAAACCCCCATGAGGAAAGCCTGGGTTTGGGGTGTGTGTGGGGACTTAAACGCACGCCAAAGTGAGTTTATTAAACATGCACCAAAGCAGGTTTTAAAAACCCACTTTGGCACACGTTTAAGTTAGGTCTGGTACTGCCCTGACTTGCATTCCACAAGTTTCAGGCTGTTACATCATCTACTAGTACATCATTAATAGAACAGCAAATGTTTGAAAGAAAAACACATCTATATCATATTGTTTGTACAGCTTTTTTTCGGTGCAGCCAAACAAAATATTTTGCGTGGGCTTGAAGAATTAGCCAGATAACACTATGCAGATATAGTAAATGAGGTTTATTCTATTTCTATTTTTAAATGTTAGGTTTTAGCAAAATCATATGTTGGCATAAAGTCAGTACATCAATGTACATTAGCAACACTTCCTTCTCCCCCCCCCCCCCAACCATCTCTATTTTTCACACACAAATATAGAAACCCAGAATTTTTCTCTCCAGTTCACCTGGTCAAAGGTCTGGTGAGTGTTTCCAGTATAAACACAGAAGTCAAAAACTACCACAAACTAGAAGGCATTAGAAGGCATATTTTCATGGACTCTGAATCATGAATATAAGAAAGAACTTTAAAAGGATGCTTATTTCTGTCATTTTAGCTCAACTCCTTTTTGTATTTCCTTTTGCAGCAAACCTTGACTTATTGCACTTGTCATTTATTAACTCCATACATGTAGTGCTTCCAACTTGACATATTTTTATACTAATGTCCAATAATGAAAATCATCTCATTAAATTTGAGGTCGGGCAGTTTAGTATTATAGGTCAGTCAAGAGGGCTACAGATTGGGAATCTCTTATTTTCAACTTCATATATACATTGCATTTACAATCTCCTGAAAAAAATTAACTATTTCAATGTGTTTATTTACTTTGCTTTTCAGTGCATTAACATCTTATTAGGTACCGATGCAAATGGATAAGGAGTCAAACTAGTAGACATAAATTATTATAGTTTTAATTGGTTTTTATATGGATTTTATTATGTGATATTAAATGTTTTTTATTGATATTATGTATGTATGTTTATGGCATTTAATTGTTGCCAATCTGTACACCACCCTGAGTCGCCTTCGGGCTGAAAGAGTAGGATAAAAATGCTGTAAATAAATAAATAAATACCGATATTAATACATGTGTAAATACATGGAGATGCTGCACCATACGGGATAGTGTAGCATTATAATTATTTTTGATTCTTGAACTTTTATATATAGTTGGTCCTCCATATCCACAGATTCTGCATCTATGGAATCAACTATCTACAGTTTGAAAACATTTTTTATAAATCCAAAAAGCAAATGGAACCTGAGCATTCACGGATTTTGGCATCAATGGGACTCCTGGAATTAAACTCCAGTGGATACCAAAAGCCCACTTTATTATAGCAAAGATGCTCTCTCTCTCTCTCTTAATTAGAAGTGAAAGCAACATATTTTATCCTGATGACATTGCTGTATCAAACTGTGTATTACATTAGCTTTCTTAGACAAAAGTCTAGTTCTCCTGTAGTGACAGTGATTGTCACTACAGTGACAACTCAGTTGGAGCCTTAACATTAATCAAAACAAAAGTGGTGCCCTTTCATCACCCACCACTAGATAAGCCACTCAAATGAGTCATCTCTCTGAGACTATAAAGAAGATTATTCCTCTGGAGAGACAAATGAAAGGGGTTTATTGATCTTTGTTTTCAGACCTTGGTGTCTTTGTTTTATGGAGAAGCTAAGACAGAGCTGCAGTTCATGAAAAAAAAAATCAAGAGCCTTGAATGAGATAAGTTTGTTTGAGAGGGAGAAGAGAAAGGGGGAAATCATTCCATCACTAAATGCCTCCACCCAAACCTTTAATTCTTCCTTCTTTTCTCTCGATGTATCAAAAACTCATAATCATGGAATTATTTTTAAAAGTTGAGAAAGACATGGAGTGGCTGTCACGGTCCTTTGAAAGTTTCCATATCATTCATCACATGTGAAAACTAAAACAGTGCCCAACTTCGTGGTAGAGATTGTTCATGGATGATGATAGATGGAAATCCTAAAATCTGCCTTATACTACTACTACTACTACTACTACTACTAATAATAATAATAATAATAATAACTTTATTTATATTCCACTCTATCTCCCCAAAGGGACTCAGGGTGGATTCCAAACATAAAAGGCAAACATTCAATGTTTGAATACAACAACAATACATCCATGCTAACAAAATGTATACAACTCAACATATAAATACAAATTATAACTTTACAAACTAAAATTAAATTAAAAAGCCACAAAGCAATGACAGTGAACACAATTGCATACAATTATGTATTCAATTAATTCACAAAGCATGTCCACTGGGATGCTCACTATACAGCATTTTATAATGTCTTCTCCCTCCAATTCAAAAATCCAAATAAACAGGATACAATTGAAACATTGATTTCAATGTAGGTGAAGGTAGTTAAGGTTCTTGACATTCTTGAAGAAGCTGTAACAACCTAATTGTCCTAAAATGGCCACTGCATGGAGAATATTACTATTGTGGTAACTTGTCCAAAATCTAATAAAACAAAACCAGTATTTGGATTTTTTGCCTAAAACAAAAACAAAACTAATCTATCACACCAGGGTTTTCACCATTTATGATGAACACCCACAATAAGGTTATATTTTGCTTAGGCTTTTGTTTCAGACTGGAATTTTTAACCCAAGAATGAGAACACACACAGAGCAGTGA